ACAGTGGAGGCCATCCAAGTAAGGGAGGAAAGAAAGGACAAATGCAAGTAGAAAGTCACTTGTCATTTTAAGGGAATTTGACCCATGTTAGGCTTAAAGAAACAAAATGTTGGAAGTTGACAGTGAAACAGGGAACAGCTCTGGGCCCTAGGAGTAATACAGGTTCAGGGTTATGAAGCAGCAAACAGTCTTGTTCCTTCATCCACAGGATGGACCTGCATTTGTGTGCAGAATAAAAGCAGAGCACACTCTTCCAAAGCTGCTCACTGCAACAACAGCAGGATGGAGAATGGGGGGTGCAGGGTGAAATGTGTCACAGCACAGAAGAATCCACAGCAAGCACCAGGGAGGAGCAGATCTCTGTAAACCAGCACGAGAAGAGAGCCCCTGTGTGTGGAAGATTATGGTGCACAGCAGGTAGAGAAGTAGCAGACAGGACAAGGGAACAGGTCCCTCTGCAGCTGGAGGATGGGAGGAAGCTGGGAGGGGCTGCACTCCTGCTATGAAAAACCAGCAGAGAGCACTGTGCAAAGAGCAGGCTGGAGAGAGGATGGGAGGACTGCACCTAAAGAAAAGTAGCTGCAGCCAGGAGATGTACACCAAGATGTCAGCAGCCAGAGTGCAGGGGTACAGGGTGTGTGAAGGCAAAGGTCCAAGCAGCACAGCCAGTGCATGGCCAGGCACACTGAAGAGAAAGCAGCTTTGCTGGGTGAAAGGAAGAGTTGCAACACTTAAAAGCAGCAGCTCTTAAGAACAAAAGAAAGGTGGAAATTAGTAGTAAGGAAGAAAAGCTTGGCACGTGCAAGAAAAGCACAAGAGAAGAGGCTGTGAATGAGGAAAGCAGAAGTAAGGACATGACATGAGCTGGCCTGAAAGCAAGGAGGCAAGGGGACCCCACCAAAATGGGCAGGCTGCAGAAAGCATGGGGTGCACATAGGTCCAGAAATCCTGCTCAGAAGAATGAGTGCATATTAAATTAATTTAAAAAAATAGCTAAAGCAGGAGCTGTTCTATCAGCATGAAGAAGGCTGTGCAGAGCAGGAAGCAGCAAGAGCCCAGTGGCAGGGGCAGCCGCTGGAAGCAGACTGCTGATGGGAGGGAGGAGTTCCCTCAGCATCCATAGTCTCAGAGGAATGCAGGAGGAGCTGCCCAGGGAAAGGGAAGGTTGCTGTGAGCAGAGGTTGTCTGTGCCTGCAGCTGGTGCAGTGTGTGAAGAGGAAGGGAGACTAGGAAAGCCTGGCAGAATGACAGACTGAGAGAGTTGGGGCTGTTCAGTCTGGAGAAGAGAAGGCTCCCAGGGGACCTTATTGTGGCCTTCCAGTATCTTAGGGGGGCTACAAGAAAGCTGGGGAGGGACTTTTTAGGATATCGAGTAACGACAGAACTAGAGGGAATGGGGCAAAGCTGGCAGTGGGCAGATTCAGGCTGGATGTGAGGAAGAAGTTCTTCCCCAGGAGAGTGGGGAGACCCTGGGATGGGTTGCCCAGGGAGGGGGTTGAGGCCCCATCCCTGGGGGTCTTTAAGGCCAGGCTGGAGGAAGCTCTGGGCAGGCTGATCTAGTGGGAGGTGTCCCTGCTCATGGCAGAGGGGTTGGAACTGGGGGATCCTTGGGGTCCCTTCCAACCCTGACAGATTCTGATCTGTTTTAGCAGAGGACTGAGTAGTGTTGGCTTAATGGTTGGACTTGACCTAATTAATACTCCTCTTCCCAAAACATGCCCTGGATTTTAGACAGTTTGCTGTCTAGAATGATATTCCAAAGGAACACTTAAAAGGAAAAAAAACACCCATGAAACAGCTCTTTAAAAATCTTATAGTCTCAGAACAAAGCACATTATTGATCTATTGATGAAACCAGCATTTACATTAGTTTAAAAAGAAAAAAAAATCAATCACTGTAAAGGAGGCTTCTCCCCATTCACACTCCTTAAGAGAACATTACCAGAAATTAATGGCAATACAAACCAGTTAATGCAGATCATAGTTCTTACCCTGGTAACTTTTCACTAGTGTCATCTTGTTGTAATCTTCTGATAAAATGAATTCCTGAGGGAGGGGAAAGAAAAAAACCAAAAGAAACAGTGCTCAGAGATGTAAAGTGTTTGGCAGGGTTTTCATTTGAATTCAAGGTAAACTAATTCAAGGAATTCAAGGTAAGCTCTCCCTTCATTGCAACCACAACCTTATCTATACTTTTGCTAATTTTGAGTATCTTCATCTGAAAAACTAAATTATTTAACATTTTAAAGCTGCCTAAGAAACAATATCACGAGTGCTTCTGAACAGAATGGTGGAGA